TGCTGTCCTTAGTTGACTCATTACAAAGGGATCCCATTCCTCTGAAGGGCTGGAATTTCAAACATGAATTATTTCGTCCCTTGGAGCTTTCCTCATCAGCATCCTCCTCCCCATCTAAAATGGCAGCAAGTATATCTTCAGGACAGATGCATTTTTTTTTAACTGCAGGAGAAATTTTAGAATGTTCTGGCTTATGTACGACATTGCCTTTAGCACCTTCTTTAATGCTGCACTCACTAGAACTCTGTGTACTACAGAATTCTTCCACTGATGTCTCAGATTTTTCAGCAGCCAATGCTTTTAGGTCATCTAATGTAAGGTCTAGACGATAACAGTTTTGCATCATGGATTCATAATCGGAACTCATTTCAGACTCTTCTTCCTCAGACTCTGAATAAGAGCTCTCACTATGACTTGCTTTTGCTGTACTATTCCCTGCTGTACTCGACAAGGCAGAAATACTAGGTTTTCTCATTTTCCCTTTGCTTTCAACACATTCTTCTCTTAATTTGTGAGTTTTCAATGAGGAGTCATTTACCAAATCACATTTCTTACTAGATAACATTTGTTTATTTTCCACCTTCACCTGCTTAGTGTTTTCTAAAACCACACTTTTTGTGCTACTCAGACCTGGGGCTTTACTCTCAGCAATAATCTCATCTGTATCTGCTGAGTCATAACCATTGTCCCAGTCCATAGTCCCTCTCTCTTTACTCTTTCCTTTGACAACCTTCTTCACGCCGTCTTGGCTGCCTAAGGACCAGTGAGTATTGTATTTTAACTCAAAATTATCTCCAACAATTTCCAGGTGGTCACTTTCAGTCTCAGCATTTTTAGTTTGCTCTTTTTCCATCTTCTTCATCATCATTGCTCTTATTTCCTCTTCGGAATCAGTGTCACTGTCAGAAGCATGCATTCTCTTATTTGGAAACACAACTCTAGAAACGCTGTTTTTATCCAATAGCAAACTTTGCCCTGATATATTACTATTAAGACTGCTTGGAGGTAATTCTGACTTCTCATTGGATTTGGTTTTCAATCTTTGATCCAGCTGTGATGAGCTTATGTTTCTCAAATGTGACTGACACCCAGAAGGCAGCACTTCCACTCCATTCACATCCTGTCTGCCCAGCTGCCTCAGTTTTTTAGGTTGCTCCTTAGTCACAGGGAACTCCCCTTGTCGCTTCTTGCTTATGCTGTCCTCTTTCTCTTCCAAATGCCAGGTAAGCTTGGATACAGGAACTACATGTGTCAAGTCTTCCTCCAGCTTTCTAAGGTTGTGGCAATATTTTGATGGGTCATACTTCACAATGTTCATGTGAATTAAGGAATAAAAGCAACGTGATCCTTTACGCAAGCAGAATTCTAATCTCTACAAACTAAATTCTAAGGGCAAGGACGAGGAATGCTGTGACAGCATGCCTTTAAACAAAGGCCTTGCAGTCTAAGGAAGTTGTTCAAAACACACAAAACTTGCTACATTTACTTAAAGGACTCAGTAAATCAAACTTGCCATAGTAGTCAATATGAAGACCATTTAGCAAATACATATTTACCATTAAGATGAAAGAAAGAAGGGAATTGTATCTATGTCCAACCAAAACAAAAAGGATATTTTATTTTTCTGTTGATTCCTAAGGCGAAGGATAGGTAGGACTCTGCCAAATTTACCCACGATCCAATTCTAAAAGAAAAGAAAAATTAGCATGAAAAAAGTAAAGAAAAGAATTCTTGCATAAAAGATTCATTACAAAAACGTCAAGGACTTGTAAGGTATTTCCTCAGACTACTTTTTAAAAGTTAGATGATCACATTTCACACGTTTCTTTACCTACAGCATAAACGAATGCAATATGAATGTAGTAAGTTTGGGCACAATTCTATTTCTTTGTTTTAATTCTCCAGACAGCTACTCCCCCATACCTTATGGTCTGGCACCTCTGTACCTGGTACTGCTCTCATATGAAAGTCTACAACACCAGCCTTTTTCAGTGATTCTAGAAGAACTGTTTCATCATTTCTCCGTGGCTTTTCTTTCTGCAGCTTTGCTTCCTCTCTCTCCATGGCAAGCCTGTATCAAAAAGTACACAACATATGTAAAAAGATTTGCCTCTGTGTTAGATCATAACCGGCAGCAACCCTTCCCACAGAAGGAATTAGCACTATTCTGATTATAGCTAAGCTTTAAGGGAATAATAGTGGCAAAAAGATTGTGCTATCAAGTATGTGTCACCAGCCCACCAACATCAATAAAAATTAGAAAGATTAGGAGCATAGCAGATGCCTAAAGCACTGCCATAATATTACAAGTTAAACAGAAAAAGGGTACATCAGTAAAAAATTTGTCGATTGATTTTTACCTGTGTAAAAAGCTTTCTTTGGCAAATTCAATTTGCAGTGTCCTCCCTCCCCATTTGGTTTTATTTAAAATTGATACGCCTTTAAAAGAAGAAGACTGGAAATGAATATTTTCTACATTAAAAGATACACGCTGAACTTAACAATGATCCATTCTGTGCATGAAAAGTCCAATATCCTACACTTAACAACGTCTACATTCAAAATTAAGGTTCTGACTTGGAACGTTCTCTTTGGCTCTGTATGGATCAGCTCAAACACAGATGTTAAAATTCAGGTACACACACTCTGAAGTTTCTGTGCTGCTGTCAGAGAAACTCTTTGGTAATTAACATCCTGTTTTTTTTTTGAAAAATATAGTTAATGAGCAAGGAAAACAACTTGGAACTTACGGAATCAAAGTAACAAGGGCTGGACTATCTTTTAACTAATCTCAAAGAGCTTTCCTATTCCTAATAGCAATGCTTCCTAAATAAAACACCAAGTCACCAGTGCTGCTTCTTCATGTATAGTTATTGCCATCTGGTATTTTACTGCTACCTATTATATGTAATTTCATAACTTTGAAATTCAACTATTCTGGAATTTGTGTAACAGTCAGAACACAAGAATGTTTACATGAACTCTCCTTCTGGGTTTCCTCTCACTGGAAGTCCCTTCTAATGGTTTATGGCTCTGAAGGAAGTGGTCGAAACACTTCCTATGTCTTTTGAAGAGCAAGAATAAACTCATAAATCAGCTCTTCAGTTGCAAAGCAATTTTTTCAGACTACTTATTTCCACATACTGAAAACTCTGGCAAAATATCTTTCAAAAAAACTGCAGCTTAAAGCAAACAAAATGCATATGATAACAGAATAAAACTAGGTCCACCTAGTCCTAAAACCACGTCCTGCCTAGACAACATCAGATGTACCATGAATAATGTAACTTGGTTCAAGAACATGATTTATTAAAAATAAAAAAAATAATATATATAGACACGTATACGTACTTACATTTTCTAAGATCTGTCTCAGAACTGCTGACAGTGATGTAAGCAAAAGTTTTCGTAGGGTTCCCTGCTCAATGATAAATATTTAATTAATTTCTACATACTTTCAGTATTTCCCTTAAAGCTGAAAATTACGTTATTTGCTGAAAATAAAGTGCCTCCGGAGCAAAAATCTTATTTCACATGTGAAAAACAATTCACTTTTAAAGGATGATGCAAAACTGTTACCCTGCTCATCTTTTCTGGTAATAATCTCTACATCCAAAACACGTCCAAACTTCCCAAATCTTTCTTGCAGTTCAGCCTTAGAAACTGTATGGCCAAGCCCTCCGACATACAGCCGTTTTGAAACTTGTTTCTTCTCCATATTGAAAGAGTCAAGCAGTCAAATCTGTTTGCCTGTAAAAAGATAGCAGCAGATCACTAGCACCTACATTTCAGGGGTTAAGTCAATCACATCAAACACCAAATTATGAAAAAAAAAAGCCATTCCATCAAAAGTTCTCCACAAAGAACCTTAGAGAAGAATGCTATGGGGATATGAGGAGAAGCTACAAATCTGTTAATCACACAGAATCACAGAATTGCAGGGGTTGGAAGGGACCTCCAGAGATCTCCAGAGATCAGAGTCCAACCCCCCTGCCAAAGCAGGTTCCCTACAGCAGGTCGCACAGGTCGGCATCCAGGCAGGATGTTAAGAAACAGAGGAGCTGAAGGTGAGCAACCGAGAGGTTACGCAGGGCGTGGGAGCGAGCTGTGCCACAGCTCTGACACTCAACACATCCTCTTCTGGCTTAGCAAGTTCTCTATGGCAACAGCAGCAAGAACAAGGAAAGCCAAAGCACAAGGTCGTGCCTCTCACTCTGCAGCAGCCACCAGCGATCGCTCCTTCTTCAGATATCGAAAAAAGAAACGCGAGTAAAGGAAGCTTTTCTTGGATAAAGGGACCCAGCTAATGGCGCTAGGTCATAAGCACTGATAAGATCCCCCCTCAGCCTTCTCTTCTCCAGGCTGACCAGCCTCTGGGCTCTCAGCCTCGCCTCATAAACGAAACGCTAAACTAGAAGACGTGAAGAAAAAGAAAGAAACGCCACGGGCATTCGGGCGCCCACAGCAGCACGGCGTGGAACGCACGAGGCGCGCTCCGCACACCTCTCCGAACGGCCCCGCCGCCCCCAGCCGCGAGCAGCCGGCTCCGAACGGCACCTCAGGGCACCTCGGCACCACCACGCGCCGCCCCGCTTCCCGCCGCTGCCCCGACACACGGGCTCGGCGCCGGGCCCAGGCGCTCCCCTCACCGCTGCCGGGTTCCTGTTGGCGGCCGGGCGGGTTTGAGAGCAGCACGCAGCTCCGGGCCGGGGAATGGCGGGAGCTTTGGGCGCAACCAACCAGGAAAAAAAAAAGGTAGGGGAATTTTTCACGAGATGTGAGGGAGAAAATAAAACCGCAAACGTAAATAGCAGCGTGAATAACACTTAATAACATCTACCTCGGATAACGGCCTTGGGACGCGTCCTTCGAGCTGCTCACCGGTTCCTCAGGGCAGCGGCTCTGAGCGGTGCCCCCCGCTGTGCTGGCGGCAGTGGTAGCGCCCGGGGCGCTGCTGGGCGCGCGCTTCGAAGCAGCGGCGGTGGCTGTGAGGGGCGGCTGAGCTCCCGGCGGCAACGCCTGCAGGCGCCGCTCCGTGCTGCCAGCCCGCTGAACGCGTTCCTGCCGCGTGAGCTGACGGTGCTGCTGATGTAAGCAGCTGACGACTTCAGGTAAAACTTTCTCCCGTCGCAACTGTTTTGTTCTTTGTTTTTGTTTCCAGAGATTCTGCTGGTTACAGCCGTAGCGATCCTCAGTGCATTCTAGTTTTTCAACGAGCAGACGAAACCCCAACCTTAAGACGTGCTAAAATGCACTTTTTAACTTCCTTTCGCTTCTGTTTCTCGTCCCAGCACAGAGCAGGTTCGTTTTCCTGGTAAATTAATGTATCAGGGTTGAGTTGCGCAGCCCTTTGCATGGGCTGTGTCTAAGCCTGGCATTCTAGTCCCAGTATTTAAATTAAAAACCTTATTTACTTTTTGATTTAGTCGTGTAAGGCGACTGTTCCTTGTGCCTGTCCACTGCTTTTTGCTCGTTAATGCTTCCGTGTTTGCTAAGAGCAGCTGTGCTCCATCCCTCAGTGCTCCTGGAGCACTGCTCAGATGCTGCCGCTGACTGCTGGTTTCCGAGGTGAAATCACAGATCAAGATTCTCAGAGAGATCCTGCTACGCTGCTTCCCTCTTTTTGCTTTGGTATCTGTCGGTTACTGTAGCAATCGGAAGGATCAGTGCAATAGAGTGGTGATGCAGGAGGTGTAATGACAAAGGGACCAACGCAACGGAAAGGTGTTAGAAAGAAGTGCTCACCCATCTCTGAAAATCTGGGCTCACAAGGAAAGGATCCCCAACCAGACATCCTTCCCCAGTGGCAGTCAGCCCTTCAATGAGCTCTAAGAGAGGCACAGCCAGGCTCCACCCCTTCCTGTCTCACAGCTGAATTCCCTTCACCTGCACTCCCAGTGCTGACCGGGTTCTTTCCCCAGGTGCTCCATCAGTGGTTCAGGCTGTGCCTCAATAGTTCCCATACAGTTATGCAGTGATTTATGTCTTGCAAGTGATCTAAGATTTACATTTAGGCTCTATGGATTCTGTTGTTAAGGAATTAATGCAACAAAGCCTTTTTTTTTTCCCCCTAAGTTTTTACATACTTTGGAGAGTATTCTTAATTGTTGATCATTTTTACTTTATTATTTCAAGACAGAGGTTTGTTCTTTGTCAGATTCTTGCTGGTACAATTGTTAGCATTATTACATTCACAATTGTTGCATGGAAGAAGCTGCTGCTTCTCCCATGTTTTATCTACTTGTAGACCAGTAGCCTTATAATGGGGTTTCTTAGGAGTTTAAATAGGAATTATGTTGATGCCAAAGTACTGTTGTATGAAGATTGGAGTTCTGCTTGTCTTGGAGCCTTGTTCTGATTTCAGGCTGATGGCAGAATTCCTGCTGAATTTAGTAGCTGAGTATCAAGGCTCACATATTAGTTTAATCTTCCATAGCAAACAGTGTTGCTTAATTCTACAAACTGATTACAGCAGTGTAAATCATTGTATTTGTCAGAGCTTCTCGGGAGATTTTAAAATGGTAAATATTCTTTAATTTTCAAAAGACATGAGATACAATTGGATTGTTTCATGTTATGGCAGGAGAAATGTTGGCTAATGCCATATTTGTACTTTAAAATTAATTATTTGGGTAAATTTAATTGTGAAATTGATCCATTTTGGGGGAAGTTGAGACCTAACATGTACATTTGTTTTCCCAGTATCTTGCAGTGTGAGAAATGGATCGCAGCGTTTATCAAGTTTATGAAGATGAAATTCAGCTACTGGAAGCAGAAATTAAGCTGTTGTCTGAAAAATATGAAGATATCCAACAGGAATCCACCTTTTTTTCTGATGAAGAAGTACAGATGTCAGTGTACGTCTTCTGTTTGTATTGGATTATTGACATTTCTTTATCAAAATTCTTTCACTTATGCCTTTGTCTGTGTGTTACAGCATTGAGACTTGTACTTATTTTTGCAGCGCTGTTGCGATACAGATCTTGTTTAGGATATGGATCAGTTGTGACAGAAGATTACAAATAATAAGTAGTTAATTTCTTTTTAGTGACATCTGTGTGTTTTGTTTAGTTTTTTTTGTCTGAAAAAAGCAGTAATGTCAGTTCATGTGTGGGCTGTGCAAAGTTGTGCACACAGATGTTACTTAAAAAAAAAAAGCTGGGTTCTTGTATAGGCAGTCACACCTGTAGAAGTGGAGCTTTTCATTTTTTAATAGATATTCCATACTGAAAGTATATTCTCTAGATAAGCTATGTCAGGTTGCTAAAGGCATCACAGCTCACTTTTATTGTATGTTCCTCCAAGTGCTTATATATAAAAACTTAAAGGCTCTGTCTGCCTGGCAGTGAACACAAACAGGTTAGAAATTTAACTGAAATTAGATTTCTGACAGCTGATCTCGGACTGAAAGCTCTCAAAACAAATTACAAATGCCTTTAATTTAACAATACTGTTGTACCGATTTAACAAAACATTTTCTCATCTCTTGAGTCTTTTGTTTGTTTATTATACATTTTTTCTCATTCCCATTTTTTTACTTCCAGAAAATTATTCCAAGGGGAATTTCTGGGAGAACTTAAGGGACATACGTCTCCATGGGACCTGAAGGCTGAACTTGAAAGTCTAGAGAGAGATCTCTCCTTTTTGGTGAAGTTCACTGGTATTCAGATCACAAGTCATTCTAAGAAAACATTAGAAAAAAGTAAGCATTTTTGTGGCTGTTACTGGTGCTGTGCTGAACACGTTTCAGTTGATTACACTTGCAGATGCATGTTGTAATTCTACTTCAAATGTTAACAGAAAGAAAATGCTACTGTATTTCAGGATAACTGCCTTTATTGAGAAAACAGTTTCTGAGCAAGTACTGTATTTTTCACGTGGAAAAGCAAAAGTTTACTATGAAGTTAACAGTTCTTTTCTTAACGTGTTACACTTAATTTCATGATTTCTATGATGAACAGAATTGTTTGGTACTTTAAACATGATTAGTGGAAGAAATACGGTAATGGTTGAATAAGTTATAAGTATTTTGCTAACTTTCTTTTTTTATTATTTTTATTTTTTAACAACAGCTGCAAATAGAACAGTTCAGAAGCACAGATTATCAGGAAATTGCCAGTCCTTGCCTTTTTGTTTGGAATTCCAGCTTCTTGAAGTGCAGGTAACAGTTAATGTTAATATTAAAAACAAATAAATAAACAAGCAAAACTTCAAATGAACGAAAGTTAATGCTTAAACTTTTAACTGGTGTTTTATCATTATGGCTGCTTCCTTGATGTAAGCCTCTCTATGACAGATGGACCCAGCTTTTGAGTTCCACGTGCATCCAAGCAAAATAATTCTAAAGTTCAAGTTCTACATCCAGGCATGAAATTCTTACCACATTCTCCTATAATCTGGTATCTTGAACTGGAGAATGGAAAGTTCCAAGCCCCACATCTCTTGAGGGTACAGAGGAAAAGCTAAAATGTTAAAAGCAAGAAGAGCTTCTTTTTTACTTTGGTTATACTCTTACTCACTTCATTGGTGTGAACTGCCATTTCATCATGGGGACTGCACAGAAGTTACACCAATTATGGCACCTTTTGCAAGGAAGCTCTTGTCAGAATCTGTTAGTACAGAGTTCAGAATGGTCAGCAGTGGGCAAGAGTTTGCAATAACTTTTTTTGGCATTGGGAAGTTTTATTCTCAGGAAAACTTGATTTTCAGCTCAACTTTGAAGGTGGCGAAGAGAAGCCACTGTGACTTTAGGAGATGAGCATTTAGTTACTCGTCTGCAGTTCCATGATGTGGAATTTTGAGAGCTGAGTTGAACGAAGTTATTTTGCAGCATGGCTTAGAGCTTCGACTCCTTGCAGTGCTGCTGTAGCATTGATGTGTAGAACTGCATTTAGCTTTAGGCATGGAAATAACCTGCATCAATCGTGGGTCTTGATTATGTTTCTCACTCGCGTGGTCCTTTGGAATGATAAATTCTTTGTGTTCTGTGGTATTTGACGTCGATGGAGCGCGGATGATACATCTGACTGTTGAGTGTATTCGTGGGGTTCCAATATATTGTACCACTAGGTGGCAGTAGCCGCCTGTTTACCACCTAAAACCAGTGCTGACAGAGTTACACTTTGTAGATACGTGAAACACAGGAAACTGAGTGTGTTTGTATTAACAAACCAAACCTTCAGTTAATAAAAATATAGCCTTTTATTAAGATTGGGTCATGCAAAGCATTAAAATACACAATACCTGTAGATTACTGCTTAAAACACAATACATGTTACGTGTAAACGTAGCTTCACTTAATCAAATTTGTATCACCAACATTTTGTGCTTTTTCATGTCTTTGAGTTGTGGCTGCGTTCAGCAAAGCTGTAAATTAGTCAAGCAGACACAGTTGGAGAGCACTTTTTTTTTGGCCACAATACGTATGTCTAGGCTTTTGTTTATGGTGTTACCTACACAGGTCAGGAGGTACATGTGTGGTTTGTTTTTGTGTCTAGGGCTGCTGCATTTGGGCTTCTTGTCATTTGCTATAGCCTAGGATTTTGTAACTGTGCCACTATTGCTGTGCTTTCCATCACATTACAGCATCACAATCATGCACGTAGAAAGCTGTTTTCCAAAATACAATTGTATGAAGACAAAGCAGGTAGATGTGAGTTCACTCTGGCTAGCTTTCCGTGGCTGAAGTTGGCTGTGCTGATGCTGTACTGTTTGCTCACTACTTGACATATTCTGCATCTTGGCTGATCCTTTAGTTTTGATACACCATCAGACTAGGAGAGAACATATTGAAAAGCTGATTAGTGTTTTGCTGGCTTGGAGTGCAAGTGGAGAAACTCCTGTTTGTTTACTCTTGTGCGTAGTAGGTGCTTACCAAGGTCCAAATGTGGACAAACAAAACAGTTTAATGTAAAAGCATTCGTTTATTACTTTCCTTCTTGCTGTTTTTAGATGTTAGTAGCAGACGTGTGCAATTAGCTTGAAAATCTGCCTAAACAGATCTAAAACCATTGAGAAAGCAATCATATAAAAAATTGCTTTCTTCTCGAGAGTTTTCATTTAAATTCTTTAATGTGACCCTGGGATGACATTGATGGCATCTGAGCAGATGTTTTTAGCCTGCTTCCTGGAAAAGCAGGTTTTTTTAGACAACAGTATATTTGCTTATAACTGCTTACAACTGCTCCTCCATGCATGTGTTGAACCTTTTGCTCTCAATTTAAAATGGTTTTTCCTGATGTTACTTACCCAACCCATTACACTTTGTAGCCTCTTGGTTTGCTTTTTCTATCTCTGCTGATGGCAGTAGAAGGATTGCTGTGGGATGTTTGCATTTAATTCCACTTTTTCCCAATAGTTTCCTCTGTTGCTGTTTCCCTGTAGTGACTGAGAATAAAGATAAGTACAAAGTCTCCATAATAAAGTGAAACGTTTGCTATGGTCTTCAAGGTATTATTTTTCATTCACTGTTATCTGATGTATTCCTCTGGTGTGCTCAAGAATTTATAGAAAAAAAGATTTCAGTTCTTCCATGGTTTCATTTCTACTGAATGATTTTCTTTTCTTGATGTTTTCTTAGTTTGTGAGGTATTTGAAGTTGGGAACGTTTTATGATGTATCCCTCAGTGTTGTGTTATTGTAAAATGAGACAAGAGTTTGAGACAAAACAATAGGTTGTAAAATGGAAGGAATGCAAGCAGAAGAAGGACTTCAGAATTTTAGGATTTTAGCATTAGGATGTTTTCCAAAAGAGAGATTAAGCTTGAGATTTCTGGTTTATGTGATGGAGGAGTTGTGTTGAAAAATGAGAAGAATCTGCAGTTTAAGTGACACAGAAGGGAGTAGATGAAGTTCTTGTAAAGAAATCTTCTTTTACAGATGTCTGTTCTCTGCACAGAGCAGCTCAGATGTTACTCCAAAATCTTTGTTGCCTGGATGATGCTGATGTGTTGAAATGCAAAAAAAATTCCGTGAAGTGAGACATAGCTTAAAAATACAGTTTTATAGGCTTTGTCTGTAGCATTATTTGTGTAGATTTTGGTATATCTTATGTATGTGTCCCTATATTTCTTTCTAGAGAAACTTCTAAAGTATTGCATTGTTGTTTCTCTGATCTAGAACAACAAGAATGTGTCTGCTGCTGTTACTGACCTCCGCATCCTAATGGAATCGGGGCCGTATTCAGAATTAAGCAAGTTTGTGTCCAGGTAATGCAGAGTTTTTTTTGTTTAAGAAAAGTTGTTGCATGAGACACTCAGTGCTGAAGCAGTACAGCATTCTGATGAAAGCTGCTTGCAATTTCTTTGGGAGGTAAGGTACTGTTAGCCCAACCTTCATGCTTCCTATCACCAGTGCATATCCGTGTGGAGACAAGATGGAACGGACATCGTTCATAAGGCCTGAAAGGGCTTAAAGGAATTCATGTCAAGCAGGAACATGTTTGGGGTTGTAATATGCTTTAGATGTTTGGAATTGTTGGGTTCAGAGAAATAGGTAACAAGATAAACTCAGATACTGCTTTTTCATTCATGTAATTGTGAGCTTATCAGCTTTTGGTTCATGGGATGACATTTGAGGTTGCTCTGATGTGGGTGCAGGGCCTCGCTCTCGGCCTTGTTGAGCTTCACGAGATTTGCATGGGCCCACCTTTCAAGCCTGTTGAGGTTTTCTGAATGATATTCTTTCCCTCTGAAGCATTTACCTTTAAACTTGCTGAGGGTACACTCGATCCCAGTCTATGTTATAATTAAATTATTAATTATTACTGGATAGCTAACTTAATCTTGTCCTTCAATGTGTTACTTTTTAGACTTGAGAATGGGGAGGGAAGGCAAGTGTTTGGGAAAGAAGAAAGGTCTGTAAGTTACCTCAGGCTTAATTAGTTCATAGGCACAGCTGAGTGTTTTGTTTATAAGATTTGAATTGCCATTCAAATCTACTACAGCTAGTGGTAGGAAGAGAAATAGTGGTACATTTCTCACTAGAAACAGGATTTAGAAAAGGAAATTACTATGGTTTTTCATGTGCATTTTTTGACAGCATAGTTGTTGTGGGGTTTGATGGTTATATCAGAAACTAATGTATCGAAATAGCTTCAGACTTCATTTCATCCTGGCTCGATCCTTTGGCTCCTGTTTTGCCTCTGTTTTTTTTCACTGTTCTCCTCCTTTTCTACGTTGCACAAGTATTCATAGTAAATACAAGTTTTTATGAGCAGCATGGGTTAGGGCAATGCTATCAGTAAAGCAAACAGTTCTGCTGTCTCTTCAGCTTCCATTTGCACGTATCATCTGTTCTTCTCATGTGTGTACATTAATTAAGCTTGAAGGTAAATGATGCCAGTGTACTCAACTGGTTGAAAGAGAAATTAATGGTAATGTGTAAATATAGCCCTTATACATTACATTTATTACTCATTTGAGGCAGGAAATACATTGTCAGAGTGGAGTTCATATTGGCAGTGTGTGTTTATAGACAGCAGTGCATCATTAGACTGGCTTAATCTGATGATGTGATGTTCCCTTAAGGTTTGTTTTCTTAATCCCCTTTCTAGGTTCTTACCAATTCCCAATCCCTTCTTTTCATGCCTAGTTTCAGACTTCATTTTCCCTAATAGCTCTTCTATTCTTCAGTGTCCAGTTACTCTGAGAATTTTGATTCCTATGTCTTCCCTTCCTCTCCCTCCAGTTCTTGTCCACCTGAATCTGGTATTGTTCTTCTCAGTCTCCCTATCACTTTTCTCATTTTTCCTTCACTCCCATGGCCCAGCCTTGCCAAGTGCCTTTTCTCAGGTGGCCTGAATTTTTCCTCTCAGCCATTCTAACTTCTTTTGGTTCCATTTTTCATAATGCATGATCTTTAATAGCACTGGAGTTAGAAACTTGGCAGTCAGTTCTAATTCCCAAGCCCATCCTGCTTTGGAAGAAAACAAGAATAATAAAGCACTTGAGCAACATGTTTTTAAAAGGAGAACTCAAGTTTATTTTCAACAAGGTACTGTTGGAAACCAATAGTTGTTTAAGGAAGAGGTACACCTTTTAAAATATGCTGTAACAGTGAAACATCTGTACAGGTAAAATCACAATGCTTCTACTTTTGAGTTTTGCTCAAGTCCCCTTGCACAAGTTATAACCCAGGTTAAACTTTATTATAGCACTGAGGACTACAATATCCAAGGAAAATCCTCCTCCCCATTTCTTCTTTTTATTACATAACTAATCTAACAGGTGAGGGCAGACAAACGATTGCATGGACTACTTAGGAGGAGTTTATAGGCAGTTGGAAAACTGCTGATATGTTTTAGTAATTAATAGAATTGAACAGTAATAGTGAAGGATTTGTGCAAGGTCTGCATTACGTCAAACGCTGCATGGACTTGCTATCTTGGAAGTGAGGTGAAGCATAAATTATTCCTACAGCTGTAAGAGTAATTCCTTGGTTTTATATCCCAGTGCAAGAAGTCTTGTGTACTGAACACTGAAATAGTGCTGCAACTTTAGAACTTCTTAGATGCTTTTGTGCTTTGTTGATGTTATACTGTAAAAGGAGACGGTGCTTGGGCAAAGGGCGTGTGATTCTAACCTGGTGCATAGTTAACACTGGGCTTAAAAATGCTGTTTGCTGTTTTTGGATAGCTTCTCTCTTACGTGATGTTGGCTTTGCAGATTGATGTTTTCTGTTTGTAACTAACTTTTTTTTTTTTTTTTAGTGACAGTTTGTATTGCTTAGTTTGTTCCAAAAAGAGGCTTAAGCTTTAACTTCTTACCACCTTGTGGTCTGTAGGTTGCTCCTATTTCCATAGAGTCTACAATAGATATGAAGAGCACAACAACACTATTTGATAGAGCAAATTCCTAGCTACAGAACACAGTTTTTCAGTACAATCTCCACCATTAGCTCTGCACTGCCTTCAACACTACTGAACAAGAGCCTGCATGCCACAGCTGTCAAAATCTGCACAGCAGAGATGACCCGCTGTCACCACTGCTGAAACACAGTACCCACTGGGCTCACATCTTCTGTTTGGTCTCCATAAATGTCCAGCAAGCACTGATAAATGACAATGGATGCAGTTTTTTTCTGCACAGAAGAGTTCAATGGCACACGTTTGTTCCAGTATGGCAACAACGTGTCATGGAATGATGGAGGGAAAGTTTGAGCTCTGCTGCCCTCCTGCCAGCACAATCACATAGGAGGCATTACTTTCAGAGCAGTCCTCATTCTGGAAGTGTTCTCAGCGTGTTGAGATTTGTGGGAACTGACTTCAGCATTAGGAATTAAGCTAATTCTGGCTAATTGGGGATTTACCTATTCTAAACCCAATATTGTTCTTTTTTTTTTTTTTTTTTTTTTTTTTTTTTTTTTTTTGTGATGCTATCAATGCTATCAGAACGTTCATTGAAACACAGCTCACATGTAGCTTTTTTGGCTCTCTGTTTGATCCAAAGAACTTCAATGTCAATCTATTTTCTTGCTGTGTGCTTTTTTAACTGCCATTCAGCAGTGTTGTTCAGGGATGAAGCTGGGTGGTATGAGGATGGCACACTGACCTCTTTCACTCAACAGAAGGCAGTAAGTGGAGAGGTCCCTGCTGCCCAGTGAGCTTCGAACTCTGAAGCAAGAATTAGAAGTCCTTACTTTCTTTCAACACTGTAATTTCCTTTTGGTACCTTAACCATTTTGTGTGCCTCTTAAAATCTTTGATGCAACTGTTTCTCTGATCTTGTTACGAATATCTATTTCTCTACTTGATGATCTGGTCTTAAGAACTTTCAGCTACTATGTTGCCTAAAAAAACAAATAATATCATGTAGAAACAATGTCACAAGGCTTGCAATGTGCTTTTAAGCTGCATTAAATTGGTTACTCATGGAAGTGATCACTTTTAAAAACAAACTTCAAGTATGTAAATTGTTACAAACGTTTGTATTCCTCCCTTCCAGGTAGGTGGGCTTAAAATGTGTGTTGCTGTCTGTATAGAATCACGTTTGCTGGATAGTGAGATTTGGGCAGTTGTTGCAGTCTTGAATTTTACTATACTGTGTGCAGACTTTGTGTAAATGATTGAGTTGTGGTTAAAAATAAAAATCCTGTCCAGGACACAGAGATAGTTATTGTAAATGTGTGTGTCTACTTTCTTCCAGGGATTCAATTTAGCCTGTGCTGCCAGCATGGTTTTTTGGTTTTTTTTGTCTTGGCCTGGTTTTGCTGGCAGTTGTGACTGCTTGGGTAATTTCCTTTAATGATGTTGTTCTTTCCAGGCTAGGATAAAACTTGTTTGGCTTTTCTTTTACATTTTCGGAATCTGAATGTAAGTCCCATTTATTTTTTTTCCAGTTTGTGTAATGCATTTCAGTTCCTGTACATTAGGTAAAGCTGGACCTCAGGCAAAGTTCTTCCTTGAACTGCTGAAGTGAGTCAGTAATAAGCTTGCAGCCATTCTGCTGAAGGAGTCAAGTTTGGCTCTCACCTGTTCTGAACATCCAAAAAATAGCTTATCTCTAACAGGAAAGTCATTAATGTTTTTGAAGTATTAGAAGTCTGGATTTCTGCAAGGTCTTTGCTGTGTTCCTACATTACATCCTTTTCTCTATATTAGGAAGAGAGGGGTTTGAAGGTGAGCTATTTGGTGGATGAGGAGTCAGCTGGATGGCTGTGGCTAGAGTTGCTGCCAATGGCTCTGTCCAGGTGGATGCTGGTGATGAGTAGTATCCTCCAGGGTCAGCATGGAGATTGCTGCTCTTCTATACCCTTATCAACAACCACGGCGTCAAGTGTACTCTCAGCAAGTCTGCAGGTGACACCGAGGTGCAACTGATACAGCAGAAGGAACAGATGCCATCCAGAAGGACCTGAATGAGCTTGGGAAGTAGGCCCACAAGAACCTTATGAGGTTCAACAAGGGCAAGGTGTTGCACTTGGGTTGGGGCAGTCCCTGAACTGGGAGAAGAACTTGAGGTTTCTAGGGATGTGAGCCAGTAGTGTGCAGCCCAGAAGGCCAGCATTAACCAGGGCTGCATCAAGAGAGGAATGGCAACAGGGCGAGGGAGGGGAGCGTCCCACTCTGCTCTGCCCTTGTGGGGCTCCATCTGGGGTACTGTGCTCAGTCTTGGGCACATCACAAGAGAGACATGGAGCCCAGAGGAGACCACAAAACTGCTCAGAGGGCTGGAGCATCTATCTCACAAAGACAGGCTGAGGGAGCTGGACTTCTTCAGCCTGAAGAAAAGACCCCAGGGAGACCTCACTGCAGCCTCCCAGTATTTGAAGGGAGCTCATAAACAGGAGGGAAAGTGGCTTTTTAGGTGGTCTGATAGTGACAAGGGAAGCAGTTTAAACTAGACCAAACATCTCCTTCCTCTTCCTTTTCCCATAGCAGCTCTCCATCTATTTTCTCTAGTCTGTCTTTTGTATTATGCTCTGTGAAGTGGGTGAATTGTATTTCTTCTTCTGATTGAAGCATATATATATAATATATATATATAGCTTCTCAGATTTAATGGTTGCTTTTGTTGTGTTGCACGCAGTAAAGAGGGTGAATAAAGTCTGTTTATGTTCCCAGTTAGATGATCTCTCTAATTCTCTGATGGCACCCACCTTAAGTGTTCACATCTCTCAATGCAATTGGTTCTGTTTGTTTCAAGGCTAACTTTTGCATGTTACTGATTTCCTTTGCCTGCCTTCGTGGACCATTTCAGAGGGAATGTAATGGTGTCTTACTAAAAATGTTGCCATTCAAACTAACATAGTTCTGCTGGAGGACACAGCAGTTCAGTGTATAACAAAAGTAACTTCAGTGCTGGTTCTTGAAGTAGAAAAGCTGCTTCTGTTTGTTAACTGCGGTCAGCAGAAATGGAAAAAGCTCACAGTGAATGTGGAATCATTGGACTTGGATATTTACAGTTGACATTATTCAGTAACTCTGAAAACAGCCAAGCCAAATGACAGGAATTTTTCCTTTATTGTCTCACATTTTGTCTTTTGTTTTGAAAACTCCTCAGGCTTGCCTTGTGTGATTGCTGCTGTGACTGCTGCTGACCCTTCCCTTTTCAGTGGTGTTATAGGTGGAAATTAATATTTCCTGTAGCATATTGCTGTTGAAATATTTCCTTGCCAAAATAGCATTTACATTTCAGTCTTGTGATGTAAACTGTAAGCACAACAGAGTTCTTTCTGGTTCTATGCAAGCTGAGGGAAGGTGTCTTTGTAGAACACTGGAGCATTATGTAATGCAAGTGTAGGATTGTTCAAATGAATGAAACTGTACTTTATCCAGATGTAGATGAGCTGTTAAATCACGTGAGTCTAAAGCTGTGGAGATACTGAGGAGAGACCTGCAAGGATCAGCTCAGCTCCATCCTGGGATATTTATTAGCTTCTGCACAGGGTGGCCTGGCACTAATATCCCCACAGCCCATTTCTCAGTTGTGGATTCATTTGCATCACCTTTTTCCCCTCCAGCCTTACTGTACTGATTACTGAGAACATCACCATTTTTCTTAAAGAAAGATGGATGAAGATGTAACTGTATTTAAAAGGTTATGTTTTTTTAGATCACATTTGCCAGGCATTGTCTAATGAGAAGACTTTCTTGCTTTCTGTAGTTTCAAGGTTATTCTTGAAAAGATTGGATGGCACACAGGCAGAGATGGAGAATAAATTTCGCTCCAAGATTGGGCTGGGTGGGACAGAAGTCAGAGAATTCAGTGCCTCGAAATGTAATCTGGTTTGTTTTACCAGTTTTGCAGGTCACTGTTTTACTGTGTAGCATTTGGAAATTTATTCAAGACAAAGAATATTAATGAAGATGCCTAAAGTCAAATTAAAACTTAACAGGAGAATTGCTTTGCCAATTTATCACGTTTTACAAATAGGCCTAATTCTGTTGCTGCTTTCCTTTTGGAGAAGCTTGAAATGCTTGGCTTTTTTTTTTTTCCTTCTACAAAATACTGCACTTTTACACTAAGGAAGCTGATTATAGGCTATAGAATTGATACTACTTGTGCTGTTTGGGATAAAAAGTATATTTTTCTTTTGCAGCATTGAAGAACATGGAAATCTTCTGATGTTTTTCAGGAGCTTTTCATCTTATGCCGAGTGGTGCAAACATCGTAGGTGCACCTTCTTACATTTCAAGGTACTGTCTGTCAAACCTCTCTATGTGAATACTCTGATTCTTAAGTGGTTGATTAAAAGAGAGCAATGCAGGTGAACTTTGTGTTCTTCAGACTGGTCTGGAAATCTTAATTTTGTGCATTCAGGAGAAGAGGATATTATCTCAAGATGTTTGTGTTGGAGAGGCAATGACCTGGCTTGGTATTCATGTTGTTTTTACCCTGCTATTGTTGGGTTTCCTATACATGGAGGAAAAGTAGTATATCAGTGCCTTTTCTGTGGAGGAGCAAGGCAGCTGTTTATTACTATTAAATTTCATTTTGAAGATCAGCAGCAACAGGGGGAAAAAAAAAAGGAAAAAGGAAAAAGTAAAACTAACGCTTGTGGTCTTTGGCACTGAAGCGTCAGCTCTAAAGGACTGCATCTGTCTCTCTTGAAAGTGAGACAGCATGTGTTTGGGCTACAGCACTTCCAGTTCTGAAATGTTTGACTTGAACAGGAGATAAACCATTCCTCCCTCTGAACTGGAAAATAGTGTTCAAATTTTGTTTTAAGTTACCATTATTTGGCATGTTTATTTTGTCTTTGGACTGGTTTTAAGATAAGAAACTCTCCCACAACATAAAAAAAACCAAATACTGCATTCTTGCAAACGCTGAGCATTTTATATGATGAATGGTTGATATTATGTGAGGGTAATTAGCTGCTGAATTGTTCTTTAGCTCAATTTTATTTAGCTCAAGCATTTAGTGCAATTAATCTCAACATAATCATTGCTTTTCAACTGTATTGTGAAGTGTGAACTGCTTGCATTCCTACTTCTTTTTGTTTTGACTCTTGTAGGCTCTTCTAGCACTGTGCTGGGCGAGTATTTTTCTTCCATCTGGTTGCTTCATTCTGATAATGGTTTAAAAAATGTTTCCCAACTTTACCAATCCTTCAATTAGCCTCATGATAGCAGTCACTGTTGTTCCAGGCAGAGCAGTTTAGTGAACAGTTGAAACTATTTTTCATTTTAAAAAATGGGAAGACATGAGACAGGAGATAGGAAATGTGGAGGTGGTTTTGAAGCTGGCCTGTGTATCTTAAGGGAACAGTTTTAGAAGTTAGTTGAGCTGAGTGTAAACCAGCAGTGATGTTGTCATGGCTTCATGGCTTTTCTTTGGTATTCTGCATCATCATACTGATGGAAACCACGAATCCATGACAGATATTTCATACACAATGCATCTGTGTGATGGTGTTTTCATTGAAGTCAGTGCATGCTACAGGTTTGTGTCAATAGAGCATCATTTTAAAGTTACTTCTTTTGGCAAAGGTACTGTTGAGAAAAATATCAGCATGGGAGAATATTTATGCAATCCCACTATAGGCTCATGAAGAGATTTTTTTTTTAGGCCTTCTTATTTCTGCCAGCATTCTTAATTCTTTTATCGAGAAAAGATGACTTTCTGGGATCAGAAAATTCAGAAATGGATGCATGATTAAATCCAACCTTAGTAGCCCTTGTAACTTTGTATCCTATGTCAAGTGCTGTGGAAGTGGCTAAGAGCAGCTTTTAACATTTGGATCATAGAAGTGAATAGTTGTAATGAGCATGTGTGTACTTAAAGTAATAATGGCCATTTCAGACAGATGATAACTGCATATTTCAAACAAAGCTGCTGATCAGAAATGGCAGTTTTGTAGTGAATTTTTGCACTTAACAAAATTAATCATCCAATGGCTAACTGTAAATAAGCAGAAAAGCAAATTTGGCAGCAGGCTGTTCTTGTGTGCAGGAGAAGTTTAAGTAGATGTGAGTAGAGCAGTGCTGTGTTAGAAACATTCTGTGCTCTGCATCATATATTCCCTAATGTTGTGCTTTAGCAGTTGTGCATTTTTACTGGCACAAACTGGGATATCACCTGTATGCTTCATACACAGACTCAGGAGCTCTGCATAATGCTGCTGCCTTCTGCTGGCAGTCCTCTCTTTCTGTGGGGGAAAAATCCAAGATAGGGCTTTAAATGGCTTTTGGAGAGATGAGTGAAACAACCCACAAATCTTTGGTTATGGGTTCTTCTGTGTGATGGTCACCTGGTGTTATCTGGATTGTAGAACTTGCTGCGCTCCAGCAATAAATGTTCATTTGCAAAATGGATTTACAGCTATGGAGAATTTTCTGGTCTACAGACACCTTTGTCTGCTTTGAAACTGCACCTGAAATAAGTGGGATTGTTGAAGAACAGATGAAGGAAGCTGCTATTGATTAACAAGAAGGAAGTTCAAGTTTATTGAAAATACAGAATAGAAATGGGGGGGGGGAATAGAATGGTGTACATTCAGCTTAATGCTAATCAAGATCAGAAAAACAGAAGGGGAAAAAAACATACTGAAGCTCTTTCACTTAATGTTTTAATGAGTTAACTTGCTGTGAATGAGGAAAGGAAATTAAAACACATGAGTATTTACTGGCTGCATGGGGCTCACAGAATATACCAGTTATCTGTGTTTTGCTTGCAGAATATTAAAAGCATTAAATTAATGTTGATATTTAGTACTTTTTCAAAAATATATACAACAACTTCCTATGAAATTTGTGATGTGGTAGTGGTTAGATCTTAGTGTGTTTGCATGCATGTGTACATAACAGAAACGTGTATATATTTGTGTGCATGATGTTTTCATAGGGAACCTGAAACACTTGGGGTGTTTATTGATCCCATTAATACTGGAGAGGGCTTTGTGTAGTAGAATCAGATCTGAGACCACTGTTTATGTAATGTTATCATACTTCTAACTATGTTTTCTATATTTTATTTAGCAAATAGAGATGAAACAACTTGTGGCTTTCATTTCTTTCCTGATACAAATTTGGATTGGATTTGGAACGTATTTTGATATGCTCTGCAGTAGTTTATCTTTCCCTAAGTGCCTGGAGACATAAAAGTTTCAAGATTCACATGGAAAAAATGAACAACAAGCACCGTAGGACTTGGTTTTGTTCTCAGATACATTAAAACAATGGAATTTCTTTCTGGTTATATTAAAACATTTAAATGGAAGAGATGAGGACTGCTTTGTCCTTCTTGACTGGTCCAGGGTGAAAATATTTTGTCTTGATTTTCATAATTGCATCCTCTTTCAAGAAAGGTGCACCCACAGTTGGTGCTTGACAGTCACCTGGATCTCAGCACTCTTAGTGTCAGAGCATCAGTATGTTCAGAATTCAGCTCAAATTTAGTACTAACTGTCTAGAGCACAAGCACTAACAAATCAAGGTTTAGCTAAATAGACATAATTAATACAAATATCTTATAAAATCAATACTGATTGTGGTGGTAGTGATACGTTATCATGCATTTGTGCTTAACTATTTCTACAAATCAGGAATCTACACTAGCTTCAAGGTTAGTATGATGTTGGCTTAGTAATGGTAATTAGCACTTTTTTGCATTTGTCAGTTAAAAGCATTTAAGCTTGTGGCTGGTATTTGAGGAGATAATAATATTTGTTTACCTCGTTTGAGGATAACACTTAGAATAGTGTTATGTTAAAATTTTAGTTTTAAAGATATAATGTTATGCTTCTGTACATTGCGAAAATATTGGGTGCAAGGGTATTTGTTTCTTTGATCTGACTTCTAGTTGAAAATCTGCTCATTTACAGGTAAGAGCATTAATTCAATTTCTTGTTAACTTTATTGTCACATTTCCTGTCAAGACAAAGCAGTGGAAGAAGGCTCAGTCAATGTCACGTCTTCATAAAAAGGAAAAAACAAGTGCTTGAGTCATAGCCTGCTGTATGCTGATGGTTGTATTAAACTGGGAAAGCTGAAGTGGCAAGAATGACTCCTATGAGCACAGCTGAACGAAGTGTCTATATATTATATATTTAAATCAAAAATATAACGTGTAGAAAACATTTATATGTAACATATACAGTTGAATGTGTTTATACGGATACATTCAATTGTAATATATAATGGCATTTGGATTATTTTGAAAGGAAAATATTAAAAGAAGATTTGATGCATACTTGAAATGTTCCATTCGCTTTGTTGCTTGGTACACTAAGCCTGAAAAAATTCTTCACCTTTTCCATAAGTTTTTAAGGAAACTTCAGTGAAGTTGAACTTGAAGACATTCTGTCTCTAGACATAATTATCTTTCACATGTGTTTTTTTTTCCATGCAATTTTGGAGTTTTAACCGAAATAGTTTAATTCCAGGCCCAAACAAATTTGACTGGAGTAAAAATTTAGCTTACTCAAGAAATGTTTTGGCTTATCAAAGTAAAATATCGTGATTTTTTTTTTTTCTGGGAACTGGTGAAGAATGTGAAGCAGCACTTGCAGGATTTTAGCTGCGTGTAACGAGTAACTGCTGAATTGCAAGTTGGAAATATATGTATGTGCACTTATGTACTTTTACACTTTGATTAACAAAGGATTCTGAAGTTTGGGTGGCATTGCAACTCCTAAATAGAATGGCTGCTTTGAAATAATTGTCAGAGGAGACCCTCATTTCAACAGGGAAAATTGCTTTAGCATGGAGAAAATATAAACATGTAAACAGTAATAAGAATGATCGTTTGTTACCATGATTGAGTTTTGGCACGTGTAAGTAGTAGCTAGTAGTATGTTCCTACAGGCAGCGTTCTCAAGCAGGAGAAAGCATTGACATGCTTTGCCAGGAGGATTGGATTTCCTTCCATCCTTATCTCATCCATACGTGTGCGGATGTACCGTGTGTTATTAGACTTGCAGAAAGTGTCGTCATTGATTGTAGTGATGTTGTTGTGCTGCAAAGCAAAACAAAGGGGAGGGGTATTTAAAATAAATGAATGTGTTCACATGCATACAAGTTGAGAATTGTCAAGCTTTAACTTCCTTCTTACTCAATTTCTCGACGCTGGGATTGGTTTGTGTTACGGATTGGTAAGAATCAAGTCTTTCAAACCAATCAATAAACGGTTTGAGGTTGTTACTGATGTTTGGAATTTATTGTTGACCAAAGATTATTACTGTTTTGGTTTTTTTTATTTATTTCTTGAATTTGGTGTGCCGGAATTTATGAGAAATTCCTGCATGGTAGTTAGGCGATAACTTCTGACAGCAAGGGTAACATAATTCTATGTAACTGTAGGGAATTATTTGAAGGGCTTTTTCCTCCTGTATGTTAATAAAATAGACAGGTTGAACGCTGCTCAGTTGTGACCATACAGAGCAGAAGTAAGCTGTTGTTTGGAGGAGCACTAGGCAGCGATAGCACAACTGCAGCGCCAAATGCTTTGGAAGGAAGAAGAGAGAGACTCGGTCTTTCTGTAATGTAACGTTAAGCAAAAATACTTCAAAAGTACCTGAAGGTGCAGAATGCGCAGGCTTTCTGGTAGGTTAAGGGGAACGGATTCCAGTGCATTATGTCCTAAGTAGAGGTAGGCCAGATTTGTCAGTTTCTAGTGGAACAAAAGAGAGGATCAGTGCTGGTATTACTTACTCTCATATCTGTTATTAGACATCTGCATTTTTTCTGATCACAGATAAAGCTATAAAGGGATCTGACAGGAAACATTCTTTTGTTGTGAGTGTTGAATTCTGTTTCATCAAGAAACTCATAGAGCAGGCCTTTATGTTCTGCAAACTTCTGTGTCACTGTACTGGTTATAAAACTTGGCTCCACTCTGAAGATGTCATTGTTAGCGTTTCTGTGATCCACAGACCTCTACTGGAACCATCCGTTTTGAATCTACCATCTCTCTGTGTGTAAGAAAAGAAGTAGGTAAAATTGTATCTTAATTTCTTTAGATGAACTTCATGAGAGTGCAAGTGTACAATGAGCCACTATTCCAGAGTGCCTTCACAACAAAGCCTGAAATGCTGCTTCTTGCACGTCTATTTCTTGAATTGCAGAAATACAGAATAAATCAATATATTGATCGTTATGGTTATTCATTTTATCTAGCTTGCTTGCCTAGACTTACCTTGAAAGCATTGTTTTTGATTCCTCTGCTTTTGATTCTGTTTTGGTTCGCATTAAACGTTGTCAGTTTGGGAGGTAGAACTGGAAGTTTCACAAGTCGGTTTTCAGCAAGAGAAAGTTCTTCCAATAACAAGAGCTTTGAAAAGGCTCCATCTTCTATTTCTTCTATCATATTCCCACTGAAATCAATTCTTCTCAAAGTAGCTTAACACGAAAGAATTGAAAGTGTGAATACTGAATATAGAATTGCATGATGTGAAAAATCCATGGTTTAATGCAGGATGCTACAACCACTGTCATTGTAACATCTAGTAGTACTTAAATTTGCAGATCACAAACTAAGAGCTTTGTTTATATATATAAATTTGATGAAATAAGTGCATTATGTATTTGTGTGAAACTTTCTGTTTGGATCGAGGCAACTTGCCTTTATATACTGGTAGGATTTGCCATGTCGGAGGTGAAGTAGGTGGGCAGGATCTCCGGAGCATTTGAAAGAAATAGACATGATTGTTGAAGACTGGCTGGCATACAATTAAATTTCATTTTTAGCTATTTGTTTTTGATGGTTTGGAAGTATTAAGATGGATATGTGGGCCAAAACGGGTTTCTGCATTGCCTTCAGAGCTCCTTTGCTGATACAAGCATTGAATTGTTAAATAAGTAATGTACATGATGTGAACTAGCAAAATATAAGGAATATATATTATTTTGGTAGTTCTGGCAGAGTGAGAAAGGACACCAGGAGGTAAACAAATTCAAATCTGAATATTACTTACTAATGTCAGCAAAATCTGAGACAGCTATCCTCTTGATTTTATTAAATCGTGCATAAAGGTACGCGGTTTCCTTGGGCAGTGGGGGAACAGCTTCAATATCGATTTCCTCGCAGTACACCGAGCCGCTTAAACACACGCAGAGCAGGCAGGTAGGCAGATCTGAAAGGGAAGTGTTTTGTGAGTGAGCAATTAAAAGTTAATCAGCCGACATCAGCTTCATTCAAATCAATTCTTTCTGGTATCTTCTAAGATTTTTCTCTCCATTAAAAGTTTGATTGTCCTACTAGCAGCATTTAAAACTTCTGAAAATCCTTTTTGTGATCTATTTTCATGCCATGTATATACTCTGTTTTTATCTGAACTTGTCTCGAAATACTGTTAAGGTTAATTTTATTTCATTTTGTAGTTGATTTAGAGTGGTTTGAATTTGACTGCAACTCTGTGCAGGAGAAACATCTGAAAGGGCCCCCAGTTGATGTTGTAATTGCACTGGAGCATTTTTGGCAGGGTTTACCCACAGGATTTACCATTTTTGGATGTGGTACCTTATTTGTCATGTATTAGCGTAAGAAATAATTAAAAAGAAATGTTTGTGAGTCAATGGTGCCACTGTTTAAAAAGCAGTTGTTTCTGTGCTTATCTGACGAGGAGCCCTGGGCTTCTCCCAGGTCTGTTCTCCTTTTGATGGTGCTGTTGACAGATGCCATTTGACAATAATTAGTTGCCCTTCATTAAAACTTCAGTGAACATCAGCACTTCAGTGGTCTTGCTGCATCATCTGTGATTTTTGGAAATTTAGATCACAGACCCAGAATGTCTCCTAGACTGGTAAAGAACATTCTTGATGTTCTTGTACTTCATCTGTTTCTATTCCCAAATTCATTTGTATCCCAATTCATTTCTGAATGTTTACATTTCAGCAGGTGGAAAAAAAAAAAAACAACAAACAGCCAGACTGGAAACTACGTAAATATTGGCCTCCTTGGTCATCAGATGTGAACTCTGAGAGCATCAGGTTCTTCAAATTAATCTGTTTAAACATGTTATGATATGGTTAAACTGTGGACCTTATTGGGACCTTTTTGTTTGTCTTGGTTCTCGTATGCCAAGCTTATTGAACCTGGGTGCACCTATACAGCAAATGCAACTGTAATTCTGTATAGATTCTTCCAGCTGTGTTTTGTATATTCAGAGTTTACCTGGAGATACTTTAGTATTTCTAATTTTTTTCATATTTAATCTGCTCCATTAGAGGCTAAAGTTTAGAAGGCTTTCCCCAAGAGACATGAAAACATCATTTCTATATCCCTTGTCATCCTTACTATGTTTAGTGTTGGTACTTAAAACAGGTTCCTTAGGAGACCTCGCACAGAGCAATACCCACTTCTCCATTGCTCACTTACTCGTATCCTTTGTGGGTCTGGCACTCAGTTGGCTGTCATCTCCTTGCAGTCTCAGGCCAGTGTCAAGAGAAACATTTGTTCCATCCTTTGTGAAAGAGCAAAAGTTATTTTAAAAAGCAATAAACAGTATTCCAGGGATCTTAAATAGCATATCTCTTAACATGGGCTTCCTACCTCATACCATCTTGTGACATTTAATTTTTAAATTGTTCTTATACACTGGGTGACTGATGTGATGTGTTATCCCTCTTGTATGTGAGCTCTTCATTTTGGAAGGCGAGAAGGGAAAATGAACTGCTACTCTTCTTTGGATAAGACCAATAGCCATAAAGAAAAATGAGTGGAAAATACAGACCGTGTGATGATGATGAAAGAACAATGTAAGCTCTGAATGTCTCCAAAAACCTACTCTTCAGAAGGCAGGTTTTGTAGAGAACGTGAAATTTTGAGAGAGTTAGATTGAGAAGTTAGATTGAGTTAAAAAATATATCCTTACATTTCCTTGCCTTTGAAGTTATTTGAAATCACCTGTAAAGATATTAATTATCTTTTAAATTGCTTGAAAACTTGGCTTAGAAGTCTGTTCCTTTCAGATATTGGCTGAAATTCGGCTATACGATTTCATTAAACTTCCCTGAAGGCTGTATTAAAACCTGGGCTGCTAACAAACGCAGCCTTGGGTAATGCTGGAAATGGTAGATTTTAACTGAATACAATAGATAGAAATTTTAGAGAATTACCTATTATTTTGTGAGTTAGTGTATACATACAGTGGATCATACCATTGCATATTTTGGTGTTTGGAGGGAGGTGTTGGATTGATTGCAGCAACTGTGTTTGGCTGGCATCATTTATTGTCTTTTTTGATGGGAGGTAAGTTTTAGAACAGGATGAAGGTGCAGTGTGGTCTGCTTGGCTATTGAGAACGTGCAGAGAGAAAAGCATCAACGGATGTGGAGAACACTTTTCTTTAAGTGTGCTTAATGAACAGAATCCTGGCCTGAGTACTGCGATCAGTGAAGAGATTCTGTGTGCACCAGTTGCTCACAGGAACCAATTTACTTAATTAACTCCCTCATTGAGGCATCTAGCACACCTCCTAGAGCAGTGGGCAAACGCTGTCAGTTTCCTTTGGGTGCCAACTTTGGTCTCATTTACTGGTGGGTTTTTTGGTTTTTTTTTTTTTTTTTTTTTTTTTTTTGTATTTTGGAATGTAAAAGCATTGAGCTGAAGAAACAGGTATCTTGGCCAGCCTCTGCTGTTGTGACTCTTGGCGTGTGAACTGTCCATCACTTGGCTTGTCCTGTCTCTATCCAGGCTGTAGCTCTTTCCTGTGGGTTGTTTTTGAGATCTTTGGGAGAGGCTGATCTGTTACTGCTGGACTTCTCTACACGAATTAGAATGCTGGTAACAATTCAGTGTTGTTGCATGGAACTTCTGTGTAGAGAGAGAGACTTCAAGTGTGTGGTGTAGAGAAGCTGGGGTGTAAGCTGGAAAAATAGAAGACTCAAACAAGCAACAAGTCTTACAGGTTTCTGAAAAAAGTTTAGTTTACATAGCTCTGTTGATTAGGCATACGAAATCAGGATCCTGATGGGTGTCAAGGCCAATAAAGACTTATGGCTCACAAGGGAGACTTTTAATATGCTTGTATGAAGAATGTTTGCTGATGTAGCATATCTGTACCAGCAGTAGGTTTCTAAAATGTGTTCCTGCTTGAGATGTGATCCAAGAATGAATATGCAAGTTCTTAGCAGAGCACAGTGCACAACTCATTGCTGAAAGGAATATCACAAAAAAAATCCCAACCCCAAACAATAAAACCTGATTATTTGCTGAATAATGTGAGATGCGCAGGCAATGTATTCCCACTCACCCTCTGTAAATAGAGGTAGCCAATATATTGGAAGAATTGCTTGGATAGCTAAAAAAAAGTAGTAAGCATGGAATATTGGTGGAGAAGTTTGTTTGGATGATACCTGCAGGACATTTATTACTTGCATTTATAGAGATTAGTACACTGAAGGAATGTTGGTGTATTTTCATACTTAAATTCTACCTGTCACTTGCACCTTACTCCACAGACATGAATTCCCCACATAAAATCAGACTATTATGTGACATCTAAACACTGGAAACGTCTTTGGAACTTCTTCTGCAAAGTAATTGATTCTTCCTGGTAACAAACAGGTGTGTGTTAGAAAGTTGAGTGTTTATACTCAGTGAAATGAATTAGTCCATACATGTGATGGTGTCTGGCTTCAAATAAAGCACTGTAGTTGATCATTACCACAAATATAGGTAGATGGATTTCTAATCTGAGAATCGGGATATTTTTTTTTAGTGTAAACTTTAAAAATTGATTCAATACACAATAAGGAGTTAACTTTGTCATGCAAGATTAAGATTTTCAGATTGGGCAAGTTGGAGGAAATTATTGGCACGCATTTCAGTTACAGCTGAAATGTTCTGGAATCTGGGATTTGTATTTTAATAGAATAGAATGCTTGCCTGCATATCCAGTGACTGAAGTTGGGGACACTGGAATTTGTAGAGATCTATTTGTTGCACATATGGAACTAATTTATTATTTTGCAATGAAAGCACGTCACTGGAGAACTGACCTGGTGGAAATAGTGACCGACTGCATTCCTGGAATTATCACGAGCAGAACTGTTGGCCTTCAGTAGACCTCTAGTTTATGGTGCTGCCAGCACAGACACTGCTTAGTCTATGGCATATTGCAGGCATTATTTCCTTGTAGGTATCCTCCTACTGTGAGTAGCGGTGTACTCTTAGTAGAATGACGTTAGTAGAGAAAGCTATTTGGTGCTTTGCTCATTAAAGTTACAGTACATAGCAATTTAAAAAGTCTTACTCATTGACTGGGTGGTCACTTCTTTGTTGAGTCACTTTAAATGCTCTTGTTCAGAAGTTAGTGAGGCGTGTTGCTCCATCGCTCTGGCACGTGTCAGATTTAAGAATGCCTAGTTTGTTTCTGATATAAATACTTAGCTGCTGTTTTTAGCCTGGCGTGGAAAGATGTGATCTAAGTGGAACTGGAAAAATATTTTAAAAATAGAGAGAGAAATGATTTCTCTTATAGATGTGCTGGGACTTACTGCTTATATCACTTGTCTTCTGCTCTCCCCTTTTATTTCATTATCAGACTAGTTTATTGGAAGGAGGTGGGGTTTTATACTGTGCCTTTCAGCTGGGACTGTTGCACTTGATTTAACTCGTTTTTGTATCTCCTGTTTAAGCGTTTAAATCAACAAGCTCCTATATAGAGCAGCAGCAAAACGGTTCCGAGTTGTCCGTTTGGTCATATGGGGGTGCTGGTGAGTGCCGCAGGGCGTTTTGATTGCTATGTTGTGGAGTCTCAAAGTGTTAACACCGGTAGGTGACGCCCACGGTGCTGGGCATTCTGTATGTAGTACCTCAGAATTGCAAAAAGAAAACAAACAAAAAGCCCTGGGGGAAAAAAAAAAAAGATAAAAAACACAACAGCTTGAGTCAAAAGAAAAGCTGTGGTTTATAACGGCAGGTTGCTTATGGTAAGATTACAGTTTCAAGTATTTCTTTGATATTAAAAAAAAAAAAAAATCAACTGAATGAAATTATCCTCCTTAATCTGAATTCAAACTTACTTTGTTAATACAGCACTACCCAAACTGCCCACCTAATGTGCTGGTATACCTTCTGAAACTCCTGAAACAGCAGGCACGTAGCTGCAGCAGAGTGAAAAGCAATGCTGTACTCTTAGTTGCAAAAACGTGTCTTTTTGGGGTTACTCAGACCATAACAAGAGGTAGTTTTGTGCTTTTGAGTGGCTTTCTTATTTCTGGAACTATTCTGTGTTTTGCCATTATTAAAAAGCTTCTCAATAAAACTTGTATACATACATGTAACATCCAATTCATTTCTATCATGTAACATCCAATTCATTTCTATCATGTAACATCCAATTCATTTCTATCATGCTTAGCAGTTAAAATATGAAAGTGATTATATAAATGAAATACCTTTATTATATCCTTGGACAGCATTTCATAATCCTGTTGGATCAGGCTTCCCATGGCAATGTCTGTCTCATAGTCATTAAACTTGGAGGAATCTTGCTGTATTGTTGGTGCTGGCTTCACCAGAGGTACAAACGCCACCAGGAAAAAAGCAGCCTGCAAAGTCTTCATTTTCTCACAGAGCAATGTGCTTGGCTTGCACTGAGCTGATGGAGGTCTGCTCGTGTGTTGACTGTGGAGAATACTTTCTTTGTGACTGCAAATGAAAATGCAATCCGTCAAAACAATATTTAAAGCCTAGAGAAGCAGTTGGCAGAGGTTTCTAACGCATAAGGAACATGGAACAACTTTTAACTCTTGGTATTCTTTAATTAGACTGAAGGATTAATAAAAGGTGCTATTAATGTGAAATGAAACTAGGAAATAATAAACAGCCTTTTCCAACTAGTAAAGAAAGTATTACGTGTGCCTATTTGCCAGAGTGCTATTTCTGCCAGTAGCAGGAGGATTTTACAAAGCATTTTATGAAACACTTGGCATATATATTTTATCAAATAAAAATGATTTTTCCCTGTTGTCAAAATATGTTGCTATGAGCACTTGAGCTTGAAAATCATTCTCTCATTGCCTTTATCTTCACGTTTCAAAGCAAACAGCAGAAGATAATCCTCCCCCCCAGTAATATTTTACAGGTTGCACACAATTGAGGCTGGGATGGAGGCTACAAGCACAGTTGAGAAGCATTTTAAGTACATACACAGTATTTCTTAAAATTGATCTTCACACAGCATTTTGTTCTGCTTGCTGTAGTGATGTGATTTATTTAAGCTTTAGGTGAAGGTACTTTCAGAAAAAAGTCCACCTACCGTTTTAGCAGATTCCAAGTTCTTCTGTGGCTGTGTGCTAAAACCAGAAGTTCTTATGCGTGAGTTAAACCAAAGTAGACTGGTAAAAGAGTAAAGTTATGAATTACATCCAGGTTGCTGCAATGAATAAGTTTTCCAAGATTGACAGTCTTAAAAGTGCTTTCCATGGGGTAAAAAAGGCTTTGCCAGCATTCTGTCCCCAGGGTAAGAGGTAATATCCTGGAGCAGGGGGCTGTACTTAGCTTTAACATTTACAAATGTTATCCAGTCTAGTTCATCCTGCTTGGCAAAGTGGCAGTTTTCTGCTGTCTGGTGATTTACCCTTTCTAATTGCTAGGGCTCTTTCTTTGAATCGAGTATTAATTGTGCAGGCTAGAGGTCTATAACAAGGCATGTGTTATCCATTTTGTTTAATAGTTTAGCTGAGAAACAAAGCAGCTGCTTGCTGACTGAGACAGAGGTAGAGCCAAAGCATACATACACTGCATTAGTCACATTTCTATGAGTGGTTAAATGTTTCACTACAACTTGTTTGTGTTTACAGAAGTTTCACCTATGCAAGAAATAAAAACTTTTCAGTCTGAAGAATTCTGGAAGCCAAGAATAGTTTTTAGAATTCGGTGGGTGGGGCTTAAGTGTGATTTTTTTTTTTTCAGCCAAGTAATTCTCATCTCAATGCTTTATTGGATGAGTTGTTCCACAATTTATTTAGAAGTTGGGTTTTGTAATACATGTTTTACGTTCTATTTCAGTTATAAGTTACTTAGCAAATATTGCCCAGGTGTAGAATTTTCATATGAACTGGAAGCTTCAGTTTTCTAGATTTCCAGTGTGTTTCTTCCTCCCCCATCCTTTTTCTTATTATGTACTTTTGGCAATCACTATAAATGGGAGCCAGATGAACACTTGAAAGTTTACAGTCGAATTTTTTTTATCTTTATAAAGTATGTGGCAATAAAACCTGTTGAGAATATATTCGGATCAATTTTTCTCTCTCATCTTTTTGGGCTTTTTAATAAGATAGCGCTGACAACCAGAATAATGTTGGAGATAAGCAGTGGACATATTTAGATTTTTGTGCAAGTCCTGTCTTGTTTAGAAACCAGATGTTGGTGAACGTGTAAATGCAAGCAGTGTTTGTTACAGATAGGACTTGCAATTTTCTCTAGGATAATGGTTTTGCTGTAAGTGTATAACTAAAATACAAAGGGAAGAATCTCAGTAATGGTGGCAATTGGATTCCGAATCATACTGGCTGCTGCTGAGATGGAACAAAAAATTGTTTCTAGTGTTTTGTGGCGAAGATATTAACATGTTTTCCACAGCAGAATTGCAGGAACTTTCAGTTGAGAGGACACTGACAGAAAAGGTGGACTTCCTACAGAAAGGGCAAAAAGATTTGCAGCTTGTCAACGTCCTCTTACCGTCTGTCGTGACCGTGTGCGCTTTTCGGGAGCAATGATGGCATGTCTGCTTTGTAGCTGATCTCCTTCAGCAAGGAGCGCTGGAACAGGCTGCCCAGGGGGGTGGTGGAGTCTCCTTCTCTGGAGATGTTCAAGACCTGCCTGGATGCCCACCTGTGCGACCTGCTGTAGGGAGCTGCTTTGGCAGGGGGTTGGACTCGATGATCTCTGGAGGTCCCTTCCAACCCCTACAATTCTGTGATTCTTTCCAGCCACCTGCTGCCTTTCCTCACCCTGCTGAACATCCACATTAAGACTTCATCTGACTGTGTAGTTTTACCATCACTTAAAACAGGTAGTGCCAAATAAAGTAGTAGTCTAATGCCGTGATTTGTCTGTCATCCCTTGTACCAGGAGAAATGTGCTGTCAGCAAGTAATTTCAGATAAATAGAAGGTTTTTTCATCTGAATTTATGTAACAATGTTCAGCACAAAGAAGGGGATGGCTCAGATGGAGACAAACAAGGAAGAACTGTACTGCTTCTTCCAGAAACAGACTTCTTGCTCAGAATGACTTGAAATGCCCAAATCATCTGAAATAAAGATTGTGGCTCATATGCATTGGCAATAGGGAAGCTAGTAGGAAGTATTCACCATGGCAAGCAGAGAATGCTCTTTAAACAATTTTAGCACTTAAGTGTTACACACAGGTATCCCAGTATTCAGTTACTAAGATTTATATGCTTAAAGTGTAATTTCATTTCTGAAAAGCTAAACAAGCTCTGTTTAAAAAAAAATAAAAATAAAAATTGAGCTCCAGTGTTTCAAGAGGGCCTTGAAAAGTGTTTAAGATGCACTTTCTGGTTTGTCAGGTGTACCTTATTTATCCCTTTTTCCTCCTTTTTACCTCTTGTATCTCATTTTCACAGACTGTCCTAGGAGGTATGTCATGGGGAAATCAGGGAAAGAGACATTGGGTGAGTTTGGGTGGGAGGCACTGGAAAGTTACGGGAGAGGAAGGAGAAAGTTAAGGTAGCCACTCCAAACCATAGGCGTTTCTGATTATATTTTCTTCACCGTCTGGAAAGAAATCTAGTATTTAGGAGAGTTTAGTGTCAAAAGCAGGTAAAGTGAAAAACAAAGCTGAAAATAACCCAGAGTTATTTAACTGAAATAGATATTTGTTTTGCAGGCAGAAAGGAGGATGGGTTTTGTGGATCCTTTGAACTGGCTGATTTTCAGCTCAATCTATTTATCTTGTGCTTGGAATGTCATCGTATCTTAAGACCTGTTCAGAGCTCCAGGCTGCCTTGTTTACTTCTGCTCTTGCCCTTCCCTGAAGGCAGATAAAAAATAAATTAAACTTCCCTTAAAAAAAAAAAACCAAAATATTAAAGGGCATACTGCAAAATGAGCAGTTCTCATCCAATATATGTTGGCAGAGAGAATGATGCCAGTTGCAATGGTAGGGCAGTTCTCTCCATTTTCTGTGGGTTTAAGCAAAAGTTTAGTATTTTTCATTTAATCCTTAGTAGCTTAGTACAAAAATATTACAAAAAAGCTTTGCTATCCTCCTTCATTGAGATGAAAGTGAGGACTGGTTGCTGGTAATTCTCTGTGAGGCAGAGAATTGTCTTGTTGCTGGTAACCCTCCACAGGGACTGAGCCAAGCAGAGCTGGGCTTCCAGAGGAGAAAGTCTTTGTTCCTTTGAGGCTTCTGGTTATGAATGATTTCTCCAGGTTGCCTCAGCAGGGCCTAGCACTGTCTGTGTAGATACCAGACTGTGATGGGAGGCAGAGGGGAGGAGGGAAAAATGAAGATGGAAACAGGAAAGGGACCTTATCTCTCAGAGGTGCATGGGTTAATAGAGGGGGCTGTAGGAAGAGTATCGTAGAGTTGATGTCAAGATATTCCTTATGAAATGAAGCAAAACTGAATGCATGTTTAAGCACTCAAATTAACTCTGTGTTTAAGAGAAGATGCGTTTTTACAGCTGCTTAAAGACCTTGGCCTTCATCATGTGTCATGGTCTCTAAAGGACAATGTTGGCAAGTTCTATAACTTTCAAATTTTTATTGGTTTTAAATGTGCTTAGAAGAATGAATTATGATTTATTGCTTAGCTTTCTTATGAGCACTGGAAATCACACAATGTAAGGAGTGTACAATTAATTGTAAGGCAATGCAAACCAGCATAAGCATGGGCATTACATTCATTCTGGGAACAAAAAGCCAGAGTATCCAAAAAGGGGGAAGTAACCTCCTGATTTCTTCTTGAGCCACTCACAAAAATCAGATTCAAGTTGATACTATGTAAGAATTGTTGTACACAACGTGTTAAGCAAAGTATGTTCCAATTCAGCATCCTTGGGGGTGGGGGAGGTTTTGGAAATGGTATTGGATCTAAGATAAACAGCCATCTTATCTAAAAAGAAGGCTTACAATACTTGAGATCCAGAATGACTGAAGAACTGGAGATAAGGTATTTATGCATTTTGCTGTTCTTATGAAAAGTTACGACTGTTTCCAAGGCTCAGTTATTTAGAATAAGCTAAGGTCATGGTTGGAGCAACCAGCTGCAGAACAGACAGCTGGAAAATGACCTAGTGATTGTATGAGCATCCTTCCATATGTTTCTGATTTACAATCAGAATTTTTTAAAGCTGAAGACATTGCATTTATTCTTTGCGCTTCTGGAAAAGAAAGAGACTCCTTGTATCGGTTACTGAGTTCTAAATGAATAAAGTACATCTTAAAAAAAAGAAAATGCACAGTTGTAATTAGGAATCAAATAATTACAAATACAAATGGTAAGTGGAGTAATGCTACAGTCTGCTATTCACTCAGCACCCTGTTCTGAAGATAAGTTCTCTTGAACTTTTACATACTTACCATCACTTAAATCCCAAATTAAAAGCCAGCCTGCTTCAATTTGTTAAAATGGCTTGGAATTACTAACCAAACGGAGGTGACTTTTTAATAACAGTATCACTGCTTTAGAGCCATTGCTGTACGTCTATGGAGACATGAGATGAGACTCCAAGGCTCGCCGGCCTTATAAGCACTTCAGTTTGATATTCCTGTCGTGTGCTCCTTACATTATTCATAGCATCTCCTTTATGCACTGTACTTATGGTTAGTCATCGTATTTGTCTGTTTTGTGCTCTTGTGCATTTTAATAGAGGAAGGTTAGTTGTTTTTTTTCCTGTTGATATTAAATTTATGACATGAATTACAAGATCAAGTGATTTGATTTTCTTTTAAAGGTCTAGATTGTTAGTAATGTAAATTTGGGATAAAACTTAGAGCATCATATGATAATTCTGTGTATTTGTTAAGTTTTATGACTTTATTGGTTATGCATTGATTGGTTAATTCTGGAAAGTTTATACACCTGTAATATGAGAATGATTATGAAATCCTTAACATTTCTTTCGGTACATAATATTTTTGTTTAAAAAATAGTGTATCTTTTATTTCATATAGGAAATTCCTATGTTTATTGCTTGCAGTGATCAAGTTGGGAAGCAGAAGGAAATTGGTTCATGCTATAGGAGTGGAAATGGAATATGTTATAAGAAGTCAAAGAAGAAAGCTTGAAATGTAAACCATCTGTTGTCCCTAAAGGGAGTTTCTGTCCTAATCCATCTAATTTATTATCATAATACTGAAGTAAATATCTCAAAAAGTAATCTTCATCAGTATTAAAGCCCAGCAATCAAGAACAGAAAAAGGTAAAATAAGTTCCTGCTGTTCTGAGATGAAGGAAAGGAACGTGGACAGTGGGGTTGAAACTATTGTTACTTTATTTTTGCTTTTTTCGTTATACTTGTATCATACAGTACAGACAGTGGAAAAATCAGTTTGTCAGTCGTGTAGTTCTGAGAGCTTTGGTTTTATAGTCAAAAGCTTAGTTGTAACTGAATTTTTCCAGAAATCCATGAGATTTTCTCTGTAGGCTTACATAGCTATCAGAATCTTAAACAGGTTTTTTTATAGGTAATTATAGGTACTTAGCACTAGCAGTGCTCTAATAAAGCCTTGCTAATTACCGTGGATTGTGAATGGCACTGAGCTTAGATTACAAGAAAGTTCCACCCTTGTTTCCGTAGATAAGACATGGAGAACACAGTTCTTCTGAATAGTTAGGCCAAAGTTGAAAGCAGAAATGGAGTTCCATGTTTATCAGTTACTGTGTTTTCTGGTTGTGTTTCTGCTGGTATTTTCATTAGGATCAGGAGCGCTTTTTTGAAGTGAATCTCCTGGTAAGGCCAAGTCACTGTATTTTGATTCGTATCACAGATCTCTTAGAACTACTTGAACTTGGTTCTTTTGGATGTGACAATCCAGAAGATGTGAGTACTTGGGGATGTACCTGATGGCTTGTACTGCTAATGGATTTAATTAGTTGCTAGTGCTAGTTGGAATAAACATCCTTTCCGTCAAAAACTGAAGGTGGGTTTCGTGGCCTCATTACAAGTATTTTGTGTGCAAATCCACTCCTAGTGCTTCACCTTAATTGCTCATGTGGATGCAGTACTAGAGGCCAGATCAGGCTCTGTTTCTGTATTTGCTGTATTTCTGTAAACAAACAATCGGACTTTTTGATACTTATTTAGTTCTTAGTTTAAGAATCTGTTTTCTTTTGAAAAGGCCTGTGTAATATCCAGAAAATAAATAACAGAGCAAGCACCCAGGTAGCTCAAGGGGGCGGAACTCTACAGTGCTCTTAATGTCTATGTGAACAGCAGAATGGTGTCCAGCACAGGAGCTGCTGTTGATGTGGTACCGTCTGTTGTTACTTTCAAGTCTTGCTCCTGAGCAATGGGAGTCAGATCATGAATTTTTAGTTTCCACATGGAACTAGTGGTATCTTTTCCACGGATATCACTTTACATTTAATAACGTTGAATTTGCTTGCTTTCTTAGCATCCTGGAAGCTGGTAATTCTTCACTAGTTCTTAGCATTTTGTCGTCATCTCACTGATCAGTCCAGTTTGTTTATTTTTTTGCAAGTATATTAAATAGAGTAAACCTAGGCACAGGCCTTTTGCTGAACTCCTACCCATGGACTCCCTCCATAATGAGAACTGACTATTCTTAAGCTGTCTCTTTTATTTGCTTTAATCTGTGCTATTACCTCTTAGTCTGTGGCAGCTAATTATTAAAAGTTTGACTTTAATGCAACTTTAAAAAAATAAAGCTAAGCAGACAGTTTCTGATCTTATATGTGTGTGTGTGTGTATATATATACACACTACTGTAACTGAATAGTGTTCTTTTTAAGGCTGAAGAAGCCTTCAAAAAAGTGTCTTAATTTTGATTGTGTATTCTTCACTTAAAAGCTGAAAGAGGTGAAGATCTGCAGTTAACATACTGCGTTTTATGTTAATAAAACTATAAAAGTTACGGGTGCTTATATTTGAATTTGTGTATGTGATGTCCATTACGTTTTTGAAGAGTATTTAAATATAATGAATATATTTCTGTTTGTACGTGAAGCCAGGGGGTTCTTGAGGTTGATAAATGTTAATTGATTTTTTTTTAACAAAGGAAGATGCATTCTGCAAAGCTGAAGCTAGATGTGTACAAATGCGTACCGTATCTTCATGGTCACTGCACATGTGAAAAGAAAAAAATGTGGGTGCAGAGGAAAGAAAGAAGATGGAGGTAGTTCACATAAGTCTCCAAATCGCCTATGATCCTATACATTTCGTATGCATAGATTTTTCAAAGAATTTGTTCTTAAGGACATGGTTATATTCATGTGCTTATGAGGGCTTAATTTCAGTTTATAAATACAGACGCATGATTAAGGTTTTTCAGTTTGTTAGCGTATTATTTGTTGCATTAGAAAACAAAATATACTAAGAAGGACTTCAAAAAGTAACTGTTGCTATAAGAAAGCTAGAACTTTTTAGAAATTCTGGTACACATTTGCTTGTCTATTTCTATATTGCACTCTTCTAGTTTCCCTAAACTTAAACTATAATATAAATGTGGTAGCTTGATGTATGGCTTATTGCACTTGTGCTCTTCAGTGAAGTGCTGAAAAAATGAAGAATTTAATTAAACTAAAGGGCTTATGTGCTCTGTGTTCTTACCTTGTAGTAACTTGAATCTCTTCAGGTATAAGACATAACAAAAAGCTTTCCATAGCTCAGACAATGTATGCTACTTTTCTTTGGATTACTTGAAGCAATTTTTGCTCAACTTTGAAGCATGGGGTGCAGCTTATTGGTATTAGTTATGCTGAAGGGTAGTCTAAATTGTTAATGAAGCCTGGAGTGCCACTATCTGTGCCTGCTCTAGCTGATGTGCAGTTCTAATTAAAGCATTAAATTTAAAATGCCTTCTAAAATAAAACAGTACTTCTGTCTTACCTGTACTTTAGTCTAATGGTTCAGAGTTGTGTTAATGCACACCATTAAAACCTTTGAAAAGTCATTCATTGCCTTCATGTCTAATCAACTAAAATATTTTTGAAAGACTTGTGATAGCTGAAGCACAGGTTGAGAAGTAAAGAATACATCTTGGCACAAACATTATATTAAGATCTGAAACTTGAAAGTTTGACTTTCCTTTTCAATTAGATATTGAATGAATCAACATTTGAGGAAGATGTGCAACAACATTGCGATCTTTTGTGATCTTGCTCTCATGTTTTTCTCTTGTATGTCTATTTTCTACTGTTTTCTTACTTCTTTCAGTAGTTGAACATCTAGCTGGACAGATTTTTGATGTTGTCCACATATTCACATATTCCTGTTGAGCATTACATCATCTGTGCTATAAACTTTTAGCAAGTTGAATCACTTCAGAACATGGAAGGTCAATTTTCTACTGCTTAATGCTGCCAACGCACAAGTAAGTCCATCATCAATACTGGATACATATCATACTGCCACCAAATATTGACATGAGTATTCTTGCTGTTAGTATTAAAATTTTTTTTCTGCATTGCTAATGGCATATTTATGTACACTAAAATTCTATCTCCACATTATAGATCATAGCTTAAAGATCCCAAAATATTTAACTGTTCTAAAATGGGCACGAATACTCCACAAGTAAGGAAGAATTTCTGTATGTACTCATTAACAATGATTATTTCACCAAAAGTGAGGAAAAAAATAGTTTTCTGCTTCATGCTCTTCCTCAGTCTCTTGATCGTGTGTTTCATGATCATCTTCTATTTCATCGTATTCTTCGGGTGTTAAAAGTCGTCGGAACACTGCTGTTCTGATTTGTGTGGACTTGTTGCCATTTCTGTTTTGTTCTCCATAGTAAATGGTTCTAATATGAGGGAAGCAAAAGAAGGCATATGTGCTTATTGGAGCTGTTAGCTTATTTTGGTCCACCCGTAGATAGGTTAGCTGGTTGGTGTTCATTGGATCAATGGATGGACACATCAAAGTAACATTTATCACTGTAAGAGAGAAAAATATTAATTAAAATTCAGAAGATAAGGTTATATTTAAGAAGTATTTCATAATTGAAATGAATTTTGGAATTTAAAATGGAAAATACTTGTGATGCATCACATTATAGCAGCCTTTCCTCTGTTTTAAACCAGTTTCATACATGACAATTATAACAGTTCTAGAATTTGGAAAACATAAGATTGTGGGTAAAATGTATACGTATCGTGTGGCTGCAACTACAATCTTAATTACTATTTTATATGAATTGAATATTTTTCATATAGTTTTTCAATTCTTACGTGATTTTTCAGTTGTTTCATCAGAAGAAAGTTTCAAAGTGATTTTAGGAGTTAAATGAAAAAAATTGTGGAATATTTACAAAACATCCACTTGGAAATCATGGGAAAATAGGAAAATAAAATCCTTTCTAGGTTGCCTTTGTTTATTCTCAGCTAGCCGAGGATGTGTTTACATTCCATCTTGAAGAAGACGGAGCCGTACCTTTCCTGTGCTGTAAGTTACAAGCTGCATAGCATGAGAGATATGTTGTGTATGAACTTTGGGTCAATGCCTCGTTAACTGGTTGGTTCAGAACATTAACAGCTCAATCTTGTATGTCTGCAAAGAGGGGTATCATAATACTTCTTGAACAACATGCAAATTTGGATGACTCCTAGATTGTAAGCTTGGATTTTACACAACCCATCAGCTGACAGGTGACAGATCTTCCTAATCAGTGACAAATAAGTGTTTCTGATAGTTTTTGATTCAGGCTAAGGGATTAGGTGGTAAAGTAAAAGCTCATCCCACCCTCTGCTCCTTACAACCAACTCCAAATTCCATTTCTACATTTTTCTGCTTTTCAAGAGTGAAGAGCTATCGACGTACTTTCAATGTCATTGTCTTCAATATACAAATGCTGCAGACTTCTTGGAATATAGAATACTTGTTTCAATTTGTTATGTCCAAGGTTAAGTTCTAAAAGGTTTGGTAGATTAATGAAGGTGTTGCGTGGAACGTTCTGCAGGTTATTGTGAGACATTCTTAGGGCAATGATTTTGGGGAGTTTGCTGAAATAGTTTTCTGGAATATAAGAAATGGAGTTATTTTCTAGAGAGAGATACATAAGTGACGACGGCAGGCTGGGAGGCATGGTCTGTAATTTGTTGTTGCATAAATTCAGCTGCATTAAGTTGCTCATGACTGAAAAGTGATTTCCTTTGAGTACTGAATCGTCAAGAAAATTATTGCAGAGGTCAAGCATGGTGATGTTTGGTAATCCGTCCAGTGCAATTCCAGGTAACTGGGAAATCGTATTGAAGCCAAGGAGGAGTCTCTCCAGAGAGCTGGGAAGTGGGAATGGAAATTCATCTAATTCATTGTGCTGTAAGTGAAGCTGCACTAAGTTTGACAATTTGGCAAAAACACCACGATCAATCATATGAGACTTAATTTTGTTGAAGCTCAGATTAATTTCTCTTAAAATGGTAACGTTAGTGAATGGTCCTGCAGGTACAGCTTCAATATCGTTGTTTTGCAGATAGAGTTGTTGGACGTGAGCAGGGATGTTTGGTATTGTTTTAAGCTTACGATGGTCACAGTACATAGATAGCGGAAATTCTGGCGGACAAAAGCATTCTCTGGCACACTCGACTGGAAAAGGGAAGTGGGGAACCTCAGCTTGTGCGCCTGGATTAGAGTTAAAATAATATGGATGTTGATGATCTGGCTCATCATATTCGTCCCCAAAATCGTAGTCTTCATATTGGCAAAATGCAGCGGTGGTCCAAAGGAGGTAAATGATTGATAGTTGGCTCAGAATCCCCATATTTGAATTGGTACTTCTACCCTGTTGATGAGAAAGAAAATAAGATGCCCAGGTAGTCATAAGTGAAATCACATATGAATCTCTCAGTGTCAAGGAGAAGCAGTATAAAACTACTGTAAATAAGCAGAATGACACATTTTTTTTCAGAGCCCTGTCAACAATACTACTAGCAAAAACATTTTCTACTTTGGATCTTTCAAGAAACAGCCATAAGCAACTGGCCTTGAAGTAAACTGAACTTTTTCTGTCTGAATTCTGATTATGAAGAGCTTTCTACCTGTGCTGTCCCTGATACTGCAGTGTACCGTAAGAGCTGAGAGAAATAGCAGGGAAATGGGAATGGGAATGTCTTCATTCCTTTCTCACCTTAATATGTTACAGACAAGTTGCAAAAGAACTGTGTGTATGAAGTCCTGTGCAATCTGGGTTGTTAGACATTGTAGTTGTTGCATTCTTTCCAGTATAGTGGGTTAAGCACCAGCCTAACGGATCCATTTTGGATGGGTGCAGATAGAATCCTTGTCAGATCCTATTTAACGTAAAAATAGATAAAAGTTGGCACTGTATTGGTGGTTGTGTGTTCTGTGGAGTTCTGTCATATTTTTCTATTTTCTGCAAAACATGGCTGTCTCACCACCATGCAATAATAATGATTTTTAATTCCCATCATTGTATTTGATTTCAGTTACTGTGTGAAATCTTCACTGATAAGCAGTTTTCTTTGTAGAATTCCTATGCTTCAGCAATTGTAAGACCTTTCCAGACATACCTAATTTACCTTCATAATCACCTTCTGAGGTGAAATAGTGATATTGTGAAAGATGATTACTTGCAATCAATTTTGCCTGTCAAATTTGAGATGCGCAAAGCCAGCCTAACATTTTAGAGTACTCTGTGTGGTCAGAGGAACCCTTTTATATGGCAGAGTTGGAGTTGTGAATCGTGTCAAGCTGTACGAGTTGGACAGTAAGTGAGTCAAAACATAACACTGCTGATCAAAGCACAGGTATTGCTGGAGATCTTGAGACTCGCTCGGTATAGGTGGGAACTATGATGCAGAGAAAAGCAAATAATCTCAGTTTTCTTAAGATGCTATTCAGGTTTCTTAATCATAGAACTCTTTTTCTTGGTTGTTCTTAGTAGTTTATCTTATTTTACCAGGCACAATCAAAGAGTAACGAAGGAGATGGGACTTAGAAACACTAATTTCATGTGCCTCGTATTGCTGGCTGATTCCCATTGCATGACATATTCTATGAATTTAAGGAGAAAGGGAGTCCTAAGAAAAGCTGTGTTTAGGTCCTCAGCAAAGCTGGGTGTCCGTATCCCTACAGTATTGTCAGATATCTGAGCTGAGGTAGGTAAATAGCTGCAGCATCTCCACAAAGGCCAATCTGCCACTACCTGCATTGTATTAATGCACTATGAAGACAAACTGAGTGGACAGTTGCTGAGTTCAGGAAGCAGTAATGTGCTTCAAGAGGAATTAATTGCCTTAGAGATTTCAGGCAGTGTATGTTAGAAGAATAGCTTTTTACCTTATTTCTAACTGCAAGTCGGAGCTCCTGGTGTCTGCCCATAGAAGTCCTGTCTCTATTGTGTCTTGATTTTATTCTCTGGAGCAGATTCTGACAAAATCTGTTTCTCAACATTACTTCATGTTCTTTGTTTCGTTCCTCTCTCTTCTGGCTCCTAGTTCTGCCCAGAACTTTAGCTTTGTCTTCTGGTTCTTTCAGCACTTCTGCTTCTCACAACATTTGTGATTAATCATTTTTTCTATTCGTAGTGCATTAGAAACCAGGAGAAACCACCCTGCTAAATCCCATATAGTTTGAGGATAGAGGTTAATTAGGCCTTCGCACAATTCACTAGGCATGTAGACAGGGTAAAGGGAAGAACTGTAATCACTGCAGATGCAATGGTGGTACATAATGGCCATTAAGAATGGGAGGAGCTTATATTCTGAGGGCTGCTTATACCTTAGCTGAAGCTGAGTGCGTATTTGGTAGGATGGCTACTGTCCTTAAACTTGAAGTTCATGTCTCAAAGCACTGAGAAACTAATGCTTCTTCATGAAGTATTTTTAAGAACCTATTATCTTTAAAACAAAGAACGGTGTCAGCTGACGCTTGGTAATGAGGGGAGCAGATCAGATGCACACAGTATGAGAACTGTGTACGTAGAGACTTGAAGGAAAACAGAAAATCATAGAGGCATGATTCTCTACATCTGTTTAAAAAAAAATAATGAAAAAAAAAGAAAAAACTCCAAAACTAAGAGCTTAGTAACAGTATTGTAAGCAGTGTACCAGCTGAAATCAAGTACTTACATAAGATGCATGAGTTACTCCTCACTGCAAAGATAACACAACTGGTTCTTTTTATTCCTGCTTACCAATAGGAGTTACTCCTTGGAAGTCTGGGAAGCTCAAGTTGTGGAAGGGAGCAGCTTAGCGTGCTGATGAAATCATCTGAGCAATAGCCTAACACAGCTGGAGGAACAAAAGATGTCCCTAAACCATATTTTGTGGTGAGGAGCCTTGTGGGAAGGCAAAGTAAAATAATAGCTTTAGTCCCTCTTCTGATTTGCCAGCAAAAAAAAAAAGTATTGTGCCACATCATCAGCTATTGTTGGTGCAGTGTCACAAGTCTGCAGGGAGATTCATTCTGTTAAAATCACTTTTAAAAAAATTTAAAGTACTTCTTCAGTGTTATCGGTTCATTAAAAAAACAAAAACAAGTGTAAGACTTCAAAAATATTTCAGAGGTCATGAGTTCATTTTGTGGTTTCTGTTACACTCAATCCGTTACCCAAAGAGTTCGTTCTTTTTGTTTGTTCTTTGGAGGGAGGAGGAGGTTAAGAAACAGTACAGCAAAAAAAGAAAAAGCAGCAACCAAGTGGCCAAAATCCTGACCTTGTGAAAGCTGAGGGAAAGCATGTGCTATAGAAAGGGTCCTGATGAATATCTTCAAATGTGTGCTGGTTTTTTTTTCACTTCACTGTCTGTATTTCCTGTTCTGCAGGAAGCAAACGCTCAGGCTATACGGTTTCAATATGTAGTGTTTTAAAATTCATAGTAAGTTTCCAGCATGTTTGTGGTAGCTTGTGTACAAAGAGTATGAGCTTTTGTATGAAACGGCCAGGAATGACATGAGAGATGTAAACCAGTTTTGTGGTATGAATGGAAATATTTTCCCCAGCTTTACAAGGGGATAAAAAAGAAAAGATATCATTGTGTTATTTTGCTGGATTACAGTACTTAGGATATATATGCAGAAATGGAGCAAAGGAGGGGGTGAGTTTATTGTTGAAGTAGAGATGTTCTGGGTTAGTTGTGTGATTCATCAGAAAGCTCTAGGGAAGCAGTTTATTATAGTTCTGGATTGGTAAAAGAGTTGCATTATTTCTAAACCTATTGACAAGGAAAATTCTTCATCGAGAAAAGAAAATAACACAATAGTAAATTCTATTTTGGCTTTGAGCTTCCTGAGGTTGATCTATTTGACCTTTCCAAGCTTTTTTCTGTAGCATTGTGGACTGGAAATTATTAAGGAACCAAAATTACGCATGGTTTTATTTGGAATATAAACAAAAGCATCAGAAGTCAGGAGCAACAATAAAGTTGTAGGAGCAGGCAACATGGAATTAAAATTACAGCAATCATGTATTTATATGCAGAATACAGAATGGCAAAGGTTGAAAGAGTGAAATTAAACCTAAATAGTGCCTTATGAACTGTACTGTAAACAGTTAAGTCACTACCATGGTATAATTAAACCTAAGTAATATCAAACAACAAGTTACTGTTAGTTTTTTTTTAAGTAATTAGAATATATTCCTAATGATGAACCAGAGAAAGACATTTGAATTTATAACACCAGCCAGTGAAGTGTTACTGACTGCTACCAAATTAGTTGGTTTTATATTGATTTGCTTTTTAAAGTGGAAGTCAAAGGATATAATGCACAGTTTTGGAAGATCTGTTATATAAACAGTTCAAAATAAGGCACATGCAAGAATTAAAGCTATTTTCTCTAAAAATAAAATTTAACCAAATTTAAATTTCATACCTGATAGTTTTGTGTAGTTTTCTACTTATGATTGCGTCCTGAATCCTTGTTAGTTATTAGAAGACTTGAAATCTCACCATGCATTTAAAAATCCATGATGACAGAGGAAAAGAGCCTGTCCATCTGAGAACTGTAGCAAAGCTCTTCCTTTACAGCATATATAGTTGCAGAAGATGATGCAGGGCCAGCCATGGGACGTATTAAGACTCATTTCTTTTTTTTGTTGCATGAGCTGTCTTGAATGTAAACAAGTTCTACTTTGTCATCTTGGTCAAATCTGTGTGGTTGGATCATCTTCTAGCTTTGGTCTGAATTGTGGTAGGAGTTTCCTTACAAGGAGGATAATGAGAGGATTAAATTTAACATCATGCCCACAAGACATCTTGTTTCGAAGGCTGTGACAAACCTTTTAAGTTCACTCGAACTTTTTAAAATAACATGTCTGAAGTTTTGAATTTGTTATTAACTCATTCAATCAATGAGAATTGTTATTGCTTTCAACTTTGGGTCTGAACTGAAGGCGTTACAGAGAAGACTGTTCTAATATTTAGTGATTTTAAGTGCTTAGCTTCTTGAATAAGCATGAACTTAAAAACTGTCTATTTGAAGTATGGAGGCAAAATACTTCCAGAGTAGGCAGAGAATATAACCACTGACAGCACAGCGGTGTGATTTGTGAGTCCAAAATCTTTACTTGGCAAATTGAAGAAAATCTATAAGAAGGTAAGAACTGACGACGTTGATTTGTTGCTTTCAGTGTCTGTACTGAAGAAAAGAGGATACATGATTAAATATAATGAGGAAATCTGAATGCTGTAATTTGGTTCCCATAAAGCCTGTGGGTTTCTGAAGAAAGAAACAACCTCAGGCATGAATTATCCACATTGGGCTGCACTTCTAAGTCAGATTGTAGGCACAGAAAGAAAATAC